AAAATATTGTGCCTCTCGGAATGAGAGTTGCGTCACGTGCCTACCTTACAGTCTGTTGCCAAATGGATGGCCACCTGCTCCTCTCATCACCTACTATAGAAAAGAACTCATCTCAACCACTATGGTCAAAATCGACATGTTATCTATCTTGGTTAAGAAGTCACGAGTTCTACAAGAGAGGCATCGGTAATCTTCCAGTGCCCTTTTGGTAGATTGTGGCTAATTATGGTATTTATCATGCTGGATGAATGAATGGAAGAATTAATAGAAATAATATAATAAAATAAAAATTTTAGCCAGTTTGTTGCAGGAAATATTTGACCAACCATTAGAATAAACAGCTCACTTGCAGGCTTGAAGACAGCCGTAGAGGAAACTGTTGGTATTGAGCATAATACATAGAGCAGTTAGATGTTAGGACATAAATGGCAAGCACAACTTGTCCGACGGCGAAGGTCGTCGATTGCAGCACATATAACCGAATGGTCGTCAGTGATTGACATCTGGATAGACGTTTTTTTTTCGTGTCGAATCAACATTTTTTGAGAACTACGAGGATTTATGCGCTGAAATGCCATAAGGCTACAAAGACTACAATCTGAAAATTTAGTTTCGGAACTTATACGGAACACGCTGATGACCGTGTGGTATAATGTCATAGTCATAGCACACTTTCGCATTGGGCAGACCAGTTTCCCTTAATTTGTTTGGTGTTTTCTCCTGTTCCACAACGGTAGATGTACATTATTGAGTCCGCAAAACTATATCCTACAGGGTTGCAGCCCATTTCGTAAACTTGCAGCCCATTTCGGAAACGTTGCAACCGATTTCGTCATTCTAACGCCCAATTCGTCATTCTTGCAACCAATTTCGGATACGTTGCAACCGATTTCGTCATTCTAACGCCCAATTCGTCATTCTTGCAACCAATTTCGGATACGTTGCAACCGATTTCGTAAACGTTGCAACCAATTTCGTCAAAGTTCCAGCACATTTCGTAAACGTTGCAATCAATTTCGTCATTTTAACCCCTAATTCGTCATTCTTGCAAGCAATTTCGTAAACCTTGCAATCAATTTCGGCAAAAATAAAAATTTCGCTGAAACTTATCCTACAGGGGTTATCGAGGCACCTGATCACGAATGTGACATCCGTTTTTGGCGCTGGCGCCAATTGGCGCCAGGTGGCGCCACGACTCATTCCCAGCAAATTCGCTGTAAACTTGTGTATAGGGGTTATTTCGAGCCTGATTACGATTATGACATTCGTTTTTAACATACGTGTTGTTCAACGCATATTTCCCGATATAACCGATGGGATGGCGCTGACGAGTGGAAATAGAGGCCAAGTGGCGCCGTCGCCAAGAATTAATATCATAATCGTAACCAGGGTTCGAAATAGCCCCTATCAGGATCAAGCGTGCGTTGAGGAATCCTCGACGGGTCGAAGGGGGGGGGTCGTATTGGCCCGCTGGGAGGAAGAGATCGGGCCGGATTGATGCAGTAGGATCATCACCGTCGGAGGACAAACATCAAGGATCGAGTCGATGCCAGGCCAGAGGATTTCCAATAACAATGTTATTCTGCCCACATAAAATCTGCGTGCAGCAATTCTTAGTTACTTCAGTGTTTTATCACCACACAAGTTAAAGAATCCGAAATTCGCACGTTTTCCAAGGGATATTTTATCTTTCAAGTGAGTCCTCAAATCTGAAGGGATGTGAAGCACACGGCGCATCCCAGAGTGGGCCCAGTTGGTTGCGCGCGCTTCAGCTACGGCTCTCTGGATAAAGAATCTCAATTCAGGAAGAATCAAGAGGTTCTGAAAGAGTTCATGTAAATTACAGAGAGGAGTACACCATTCAACAAGAAAGCCTTCAGCGTCAAATTCACAAGCTCATTTAAGGTTGAGACCCGCTAAACAATTTACACTTTTTGAAAGAGAAAAGCACGAGGATTTCGAATCTGCTCCTACTTCAGTATGTAATCGCTCCTGCAAGGAGCTATAGTCGTTGGGATAGTGCTAATGTAGCGAAAAAGTACCTTTCGGCGGTACTCGGGCAAAAATCCTCAACGTGGCCATTTTTTAAATAGTGAACGTATTTAGCAGTTTTAGTTGCCTTAGAAAGAGCAAATCTTCTAGTTTATGATGACGTATTAACTTTCCAGATTGGATGAGTTTGAACGGAGTTATGGCTTTGGAAAGCGTAAAAACTCGCACTCATCACGAATTTTCCTCGTTAATTTTGCAAAAATCCTCAACGTGGCCGTTTTCAAATACTGGACGGCTCAGCAATCGTTTGATAGAGAAAATCTTCTAGTTTTGCCTGCCATACTAACTTTTCAGATTTGACGAAAATGAAAAAGTTATGGCTTCGGAAAGTGTAAAAACTCGTGCTCATCATGAATTTTCCTCGTTAATTGATCTAGGTTTTTCTCATAATTTTTGTAATTTCCATAATAATGTTTGGAAAGAGCTTTTCACAAAACTCCCAAATCTGCTTTCAGATTGAAAATTCGTTCTTTTTGAAGAAAGTTATAATCATTCGAATATTTGTTCGAATTTCAATAGTAGATATATAAGCTGCTCCGGTCAACGCCAAAGATCAGTCAGCACACAGCTGGCTAAGGCCGATGTCAGACTTTGCGAATCGCGCGATTCGCTAGCGTCTGCGGTCGCGTCGCGGCCAGTGAATCACTCAATTGGCTGGTACCGCAACGCGACCGCGGACGCTAGCGAATCGCGCGATCGCAAAGTTTGACATCGGCCTAAAGCGGGTATAAGGCTTCTTTCAAGTGAAGGGGAGGTGTAAATTGAGAACCATACTCTGTGTAGTACTAAAATTTGGTAAGTCTTGTGAAGGAAATAAATAAAGAAGAGATGTTGTCATAGTATGCCATTTTTAGTGGCTAGTTTGTCGTTTTTTGCTCCGTTTCTCGTTTGCTCGTTTGTAGGACTCATCATAATGATCATTCTTTGACTTTTTCACTTTTGTACTTCTTAAACGAATTTTCGGCGGACGGTGAGGAGATGGGCTTTTTTATGAACAGTTTTGGGAGAGAATTAAACAACCTTTTCATAGTTCGGCTTTTGAAGAGGGTCGCTTCATGAACTTCGGCCTCTGGCGGAGAGAGGGGCTTCGTAGTCTCAAATTTTCCTCGTCACCTCGCTTGACCCTGGGGTGGCCCCTATACACAAGCTTACAGCGGATTTGCTGGGAATGAGTCGCGGCGAGACCAGGCGCCAAAGTTGGCGCCAGCGCCAAGAGCGGATGTCACATTCGTGATCAGGTGCCTCGATAACCCCTGCAGGATAAGTTCAGCGAAATTTTTATTTTTGCCGAAATTGATTGCAAGGTTTACGAAATTGCTTGCAAGAATGACGAATTAGGGGTTAAAATGACGAAATTGATTGCAAAGTTTACGAAATGTGCTGGAACTTTGACGAAATTGGTTGCAACGTTTACGAAATCGGTTGCAACGTATCCGAAATTGGTTGCAAGAATGACGAATTGGGCGTTAGAATGACGAAATCGGTTGCAACGTATCCGAAATTGGTTGCAAGAATGACGAATTGGGCGTTAGAAATGACGAAATCGGTTGCAATGTTTACGAAATGGGCTGCAACGTTTACGAAATGGGCTGCAACGTTTACGAAATAGAATGCAAAGTTTCCGAAATGGAATGCAAGGTTTACGAATTGGGGTGGAAAACCCTGTATGAAAACGACTGTCTTGACAAAGTGGCGCCCAACAGGCGACAAGTTACCAACGTCAAAACGAATATCATATCCGTAATCAGGGCATCGAAATGCCTCTACACACAAAGTTTCGACGAAAAATAGAATTTTGTAGATTTTGGGGCAGTAATTGTGGGAATAGTGCTCGCATTTGGTGCTAACTTAGTTGGGGGGGGCACGCGGCGCGGCAGTCTGCTCGCCTGGCATGTTCGGAAATCCGTGGGCCAGGGGGAGTGTAGGCCAGTCTAGGGGGGTGGGGGGGCAGTCACTTGACATGCGTGAAAAGCTGGAATGTTCGAGTTTACACTGTCTCGCTCGAGAGAGCCCAGGTGAGCAGACTGCCGCGCCGCCGCGTGGCCCCCCCCCAACTAAGTTAGCACCAAGTTTGTGGTTGTTTCCGATGGATTTCCTCGGTTATTTACGTTGCGTCGCAGACTTGCTGTCCAACGACGAACAGTGCGTTCATGTCTGGTAGATCCCTTGAAATTCTATGAGTAAATAAGCACACATATTCTGGATCGCAATGGATTGCATTGTATTCTTTTATTTGCATTGATTGTCTACCATTTTTAGCAACAATGGTGACTATGGAGATGCCGCAAGTGAACATACTTTCCAAAATCGATCTCTTCGACGAAGACGCTCCGTTTAATCTCGACTACTTCACCCACTTACCAGATGTGAATCGTCTGCTCGAATTGTTGAACGTCAGTGATTCACATTCCAAACTATAACTATTTTCTGCTACCTGAGTGATTCAAATCTTTACAGGAAGTCCCTGGTTTGGAGCGATATCATGGACTCAATGCCGCTATTTGCGACGTCATTACGAGTTTCGACCTAGTCAGCTTTGTGCCTTTGAATGTGCAAAAGAAGGAAGATATGGCTAAGGTATTACGATTGGCCGACACAGCCAACGGATGGGCATTCCACGAACAAGGGGATATAAGAGAAATGGTAACGAAATAGCAACCATACCATGGCGTGTTTACTATTTTACAGATCTCTTGAGAATCCGGTTATTGTTTTTGTTACTGTTTTTGTTGACATGGTTGCTGGCTGATAAATAATTGAGGTAAC